CTGGATGGGATGCTGGACCATTGTAGGGTACACACTCACACACACACTCACACACACAATCACACACTAAGGGTGACTTTAAAGCACTGACTGACACGATCAGAGGAGAAACCTGGAAGAGCCAGATGGAGCCCAGGAGGACCGGTGAGAACATAGACCCTCTCACACAGAGCCGGGGGCAGGAATCAAAGCCACAACCCCGGTCCTATTAGGCCGCCATGCCGCCCACTTCGGAATACGCGACTGTCGGTAATGTGGTGTCCTGGGCACTGTGATTACCATCAGCCTCATTGGTTCGGAGCCCATTTTACCAGTAAGTGAGCTTAATTTTCCTTTAGCTCAAATGATCAGAATAATGAATAGGGACTCAAGGCCATGTGCTAACATTTTACTAACGGTCTGCTTATGCTAACACTGTCATAAATGCATAATACTAATGTGTGCAGTGCTACTGTGCAAATGATTGCAATTCAGCCAGGGAATCATGCAGTTCACTGGTATCTGCAGTGGAAAAACTGACTGCAGTTCAGTCATTCACTCTAAGACAGCTTTAATCATACCTGCTCTTTAATCTTCACACGGTATCTATTTATAGTTCTGGGGTGAGGGGTAGATCTGTGGAGAATCTGACCTCCCAAATGGCCACAGGAGGGCTGAGTCACGTGTCCAGTTAGCCTGTGGTTAAAAATCATGAAAGGTTCACGCTTCCATCAGTGTCCCGGGATCGATTTCTTTTTCTAAGTTCAGTGATTGAATCATTTGTGTTGCATGTGACTGAATGATCAGGCTGCCTGACACCCCTGCTCTTTCCTCTGCCTGCTAGCAGCCGCTCGATATATCAAATATTTAAAACCTAAGTATGGGCAGCACTGATCCGTGATACCTTGAAGGGTGATGGGTTTGGATCGTGCCTCTGCTCGGAGTGTGGGCATGTGTTTTGCATGAGTATCCTCCTGTAGTCCAAAAACAAGCTACCAGCCTAATTGTATGTGCCCTGTAATGAATTGATATGCCATCCAAAGTGTATGCCCAGTGTATGCACCAGGCCTGGACCAGGATAAGTGGCTGGATGATCAATGAATTAATGGATGGAAGGATGGATGTATGAATTAATGAAATATTCATTCAAGACAACCTCCCTCCCTTGCTTGTAGTTGAAATTTGTGCATTTTGATGCTATGCTTAGAATTATGCATGAAAACAATTTTGCTTTTATAACACCGGAAACCCAAGGCCCAAAAGTCAGCAATGAAAGCATCTTTTCAGGCATCAGCCACATTATAATGTACGTTGGCTGTAAAAAGAATGCATCTGATAGATGTTTATATATTTCATAAGAAAAATAGTTCGTACAATAGTGTATTTTAGAAGACAGCTGCCAGCAAGATGTGGAGTAATGTGAGTATGAAAATCATACTCTTCTGCCCATAAAGGATGTAAACTTCAGTTGGATTTGCTATCTTCTCTTTAGAAGGTTCTTCCTGCGTGTAATCAGATCTGAGTCTGTTTCTCTTAGGGTTTCATCACACGCCCACATCCTTTATTTCCTCTTATAGAGCTGTAAGACCTATATCTCTGTGCTAGTGTATGATCATGCTAAGTCTTTTATCATAGTACATTATAATCAGCATTGTGGAGTCTTCAAATCTTAAACTGTGTTCAGGAGACCCAGTTATAAGAGAGAAATTATGATATGGGTGGGTGAGCAGTCTTAGTACAGATACTACAGTTTTACTGTAGCACATCAAACGTATAAAGATTGAAATCAAAATCATTTTATTGGCCAGATACGCCTGCGTGTACTAGGAATTTGTCTTGGCTGTACTGCTGCATACATACACAAACAACAAAGAATATGAATTAAAGAAAAAATAATAATGAAAATAAAAAGTAGAATTTAAATAAGTTTTGTAGTTAGAAAGTGTCACTATTCAAAGTATTATTTATGATTTTTTTCACAGTCCAAAACACGACAGAGGCAGGAGTAAGAGGGAAAACAGTAAGAGGTTTATTAAGGTTATTAATTGTTATTAATTAACAGGGCTAACAACAGCAAAAGGCACAGTAGCACACACTGGGGCAACATCAATGACCAGACTGGGGAGGGCAGTATTGGGAGGCACTCTTATACTGGACTAACAAGGGAGCAGACAAGAGGCAGCTGGAGTGATCCACACGAGGGCTGAAACGAGAGGTCAGACAAATGATTAACAGCTTCAGCTTGTTAGAGCCACACTAGGGAGAGAATGAGGCGGCAGGAATGTGGGGTGTGACAATTTGTCTGAAAAGAACTGAAAAGAATTTTTTTTTTTTCTCAAAATCACCAAAAAGGCAATTAAAAAGCGAGACACTAATGAGTTATATAATGTGTGCTTGTTTCAGATTTAAATACTGTATAGATTAACCAAGGCAACAAAAATCTTCTGTCATCTTCATTTCAAGACATCTTGACATACTTCAAGTCTAGGCAAAGACTTTTTCAAAACCTTTCCCAAGCAACAATCATTTTTTTATTTTTAGAATTTTTTACAATTTCCATATAATGTCAAAGCAGTTAATCTACAAGTTCACTGACTATAGATGTCATAGTCTGTCTGTCTATTTTTTCTGGGTAAGTACTGATGTCCAGGTTTTATGAGATTATAGGATTTGCGTGCTTATTCCCAAGCAATTTTTTGCAAATAAAACATTGTAAATAATAAATGGCCATAGCTCTGTCCTAATCCATAATCTTAGCCTTTGTCTCTTTCCCCAAATCCATTGTGCCTGAGACATTAGCACTGAAGGTATAATAGAAACAGGATGCCTAGAATATCTCATCTTCTAAAACATGGCACCAGTTGAACCCCAAAGCCTTTTGATTGCTCTCTACTGCCTGCATCTGATTGTGACACAAATGTAATTTTAATGCATGCCGGTGTTACTCCATTATTAAAAATGGGAGATTTCAATGGCTTTGCGTGAAAGCTGGCCAAGTCATTCGGCTGCATTCTTTAGCAGTTCTCTTGAGCAGGTAGTGAAATGCCAGTGTAAATCTTAATGACTGACAGTTACTTTTCATTATATTTTAATAATGAGCTAAATGCTAACCTGAAGTCATTTAATGAATGACTGTGAAAAGCAGAACAGAAATACCTGATGAAGGGAACTTATAAAGCAGGGAGGATTATTTGTCGACTTTCATTGCCATTATTCTTGTCAGAAGAGGGTGGAACTGCTGTGACTAGCAACAGTAAACACATCTGTCTTGATGTAATGGGTGTATGTGGTCAATATGGCCTGTAGGGAGACGCCCTCTGCACATTCTGCTTTGCAATGTTTCCAATGTGCCCTGACTAAGGCCTGCAAAATGTCACGCTGTGCCTTAACATGTCAGATTATGAATGCTCATTAGTGACAAGGGCACTACTTGTTATGTACTTATTCTAATCAGGTTCGATATACATTGCATTGTTGTTCTCTCTCGGTCAATTACATTAATTAAGTCTCAATCCAATTAACTCCCGAAGGTATGTATATTAGAACTGCTCAAAATATCTCCTAAGAAACCAAAGTGGTTTTGCTAAAAGTTATCAAATGAGTCACATTTACAAAAATACTGTACCACTTTTTCCTTTTTATTAGTCCCAGTTGCTTTTTTTTATTATTATTCATTTGTTACATTTTCAGGAAAGGCAAATGAAAGGTTGTCATGGCATTTTCTGCAGTCCCCATTCTTTTAAAAAGTCAGTGATTGACATGAAAAAGCATACATTATAAAAGAAGTAATGTCTCTTGCGTTATTTTTTATGCATTATGTTTATAAAATCAGCATTTAATTTAATTAGTACCTTCTTTACCAAAGATTTCCATTCTTTGGAACGCACGTATAATAACTGATAATTGAATATTTTTGAAAGTAAAGGAAAAGGGGATTGGAGAAAAGTGACTATTAAGGGCAAATTAGTCCATTAACTAATGGAGATGAAAAATAGGCTCTCAGTGGCAAGTTGTATCCAGACTAAAAGGCAACAGGTGGCACATGAGTAATATGTATTGTAGCTAATCAATGAGTTATTATAAGCTGCTATAGGTGGTTTCGTAATTTATCGTTATGCTGTAATGCCTGTCAGAGGGTCCTCTATGTCAACAGATCGGCCTAGTGGGACTTCCTGAAGGGCAAGAAGGTGCTGGGTCAATTATTTACATTTATGTGGATTCATTTAACAAACAATTTCTTCCAAAGTAACTTGAAGACTATACACTATGTGTTAGAATAAGTACAATGAGTAATAAAATAAAAAACACATAAACATAACCGTAACCAAAGATATTCTGTTTTACAGTATTATGTGTAAAAGGTAGACTACCACTTTGCTTTTCTTAGTTTTTTTTTCAACATTCAAAGAAAATGTCTAATCTTGCAGCATGTTACTTACAATTCCTGTTTCGTCTTTGTGTGTGAAGTTTCTATTAGAAAGGTGAGGAGAACTCCTTTAACTGGGTCTAAGCCATCAGTGAAAAGGACGGCCTTGAGAGTCTGAGGTCATGTTGGTGGTGGTCTTTTTCTATTCCTGCAGCACTAACTAGGAATGTCTCACCTACATGAATTCCTTACAGGACCACAACAAACATTAGTAAGGAATTTGAAGGTAAAACACAAGATTTAAACCAGTAACTTATGCTAATTCCCTTAAGTCCCAACATCAATAGATTGAGATTAAAAAGGCATTTCAGTGTATGCAGTAAATTGTGAACCACCATAAAACAATATGCAAAGAAACGAAGACAAATTAGAAACTGAAGAGATATTTGGAGCCTTATTTAGTATCATTATAGTCATCCTCATTATGGCAATTATAGTAATAATATTACAAAGCATAATGCTTCACGTTAGCTTTGCTCCTAAGTATCTTCTTCAAGCACTGATGCCTTCAAAACTGCATTTTAAGTGAAGGGCACAGAGGAAATAGAACAAAAGTGTCATGCAGAATTCCTATTCTGAAAAACAAGATACATCGTTTCTGCTCTAGGTTGATTTTTATTGGACATTAACACAAAGGTGGTCTGGGACTATTATTTTAACCAGCATGTAAAAAGCAGACTTTGCACACATCTTGAGCTCAAAAAGTGCCCCCACTTCAAAAGCCTGCATTGTGGTCTGGGAGACTCAGAAGATCTGGAGGAACAGTGTAATGAAATAATGGCAATTAGAGAGCATCTAAATGAAATAAGATCACAGAAATAGCTATCCAGATTTCAGCCAGTGATTTGTTTTATAGCTGTACATTTAGATATAATTTAGTTTTGTTTTTGAACACATACATAACCAAGAATCACATTATCCCTAAAGGACTGATTTTGCTTGCAAGTGTCCTATGTAAATTTGCAACTTCTAGGGCATTCACAGTCAAATGACGCAGAAGATGTAAATAGATGCAAATTACATAAAGTGTAATTAAATTTGCAAAACTGAATTTGCAATGAGACCAAGTTTTCCATAAACATGTATCTGGCTTTGCTCTATTTTGCTGTAATACTGATCTCCTTCATGGAGAAATATTTTCAAACATTTCCATTTTTGCTCTTTACTGACCAAACAAGTGTAACATTTTTCTCTCCTCTTTTTCCAGATATCCTACAGTGCCTACAGGGATAATTAATTAAACATTAATTAAATAGGAACATTAATTAAAATAATGTTGCATTGAAATCTGAAGAAAAAAAAAATCCTGTTATGCTTTTAATTTGTTCTCCCCAAGTGGTTACAAAACATACTCATCATTGTGATAAGGAAAATTAAGATAAGGGACGTTTGATTCCAAACAAACAAACAAACAAACAAACAAACAAACAAACTTTTAAATGCAGTTATTAAATTAATTATTAAATGTACTGATTCCCATAGACATGCTACTAGCTACAATTACAGTGAGGTTAAGTCTCTAACAGTTCAGAATTCACCCATCCTTTCTCTGGAAATCTGCACCTGGAAGGAGATCAGTGAGGGGTACAGTATCAGTCGTAGGGTCATACCCCCAGGTCTCAGTCTATGACAGGTCCATGTCTTGATTGTGCTGCTGTAGGGCATACTAAGGTTTCTTTGACTCTATATTTTGGGTCGCTGTCCTGCGGAAAGTTGGGTCTCCATTTCTGTCTTCTGCAGACTGAGTTGATTTTCCCACAAGGATTGCCTCTAGTCATCTGCACCCATTTTAACCTGTATTTCCACAATTTTTCCAGTACTTGAAATCTCTCATTTTAGAATTCCACGTCCACCTTTCTTTACTGGCTAGACTTTGGGAGCACCTGATCTACACTGCATTCAGAGAGTTTCTCCCCTCACTGCACACCAGCACATGGTTTCTTTTAATCCTCTTTGCTGGCTTGTTCAAATCAGAATCTGGATGGTACTATCATGTACAGTGAATATTCCTTGGTATAATCGGTCCTGTTCAACATAAGAACCACAATTCAAGGCAACATACAGTAATCAAATATATAATTATATGCATATTGTGCAATACGCACAATATACAGCAATGTTAGGGTTATATAACAATATATAACAAATGAAAAAATATTATGCAGTATGTATATTATGCAATGTGCATAATATATAACAATTTTTAAAAACCATTAAGTAATTACAGCTTAAAATCTGTCCCAAAGAGTGTAAAATGTCTTCCTGTCTTCAGTTTAAGGCGATAGGGTATCTTAGTTTTCTCTCTTGGTGCTGGACAAACAGTCAGGTCAAGTACAGCCAGGATCAAAGTGAGACTCTTCAGGTCAGCAATGTCACAACCCAGATCGGTGAAATTGAGGAGGAGGGGGCATATTCATTCCACACCCAGCCCGAATCACATGTGCCCTCCCGGTAGCGCACACCATCCAGTTTGAGAAAAGCTGAGTAAGCAGTAACGGACACCCTGTGTGGCCGGCAGGGAATTCTCCTGATTGTCCCGATTAGCCACTCCGGCATTGAGTCCCACTCATTGTGGGGTTTGAGGTGCCCTTTAGCCAATTAAATAGGAACCATGAAGGCCTTTTATTAAGTATTTTTGATACTTTTACCTCTCAGGTTTTAATTGATGTTTTAAGACTGAGGACAAATCAAAGAAAAATAGCATTCAAATGATTAATACACTCACAAAACATCATCTTTTGGAACACTGATAATTCAAGTATTAAAAGTTATTTTGGTATTATTTGGTGTTATGTTGTGAAGGGATTTGCAGCAAGTAAACAAATCCCACAATGCATATTTAAATTTTTGGTTTACAATGTTTCACTTCATTGTGACCCTAAGAGGAATGAAAAAGTATGAATTTGAGTATAATCTCAAAGGGCCTATACATTTATAACTATTTCACCATTCTATACAAAAGGATAACACCCTTTCTGATTGAAATATCACTGATGTCATCCTTTTTATGATTTGGAATCTGAAACTTGCCATGGCCATTGTGTACTTTTCTCTGACCATGTTTATAGTATTCCTAACCTTAATTTACTCAGCTCTGATAAGAACAACCCCTATACTCACCCTGAACACACATCTTTAAATGGAGGTAAACTTGATTCTGCTAAACTCATTTAGCATACTAATGTGGTACCAGGGAGGTGCATGGAGGAACCAAGCCAGAGTCCAGCACACGGACCCCGGAGGTGGATGGGACATTTCTGCCGAGCCAAAATAAAAACTTGTTCTGACCCAGAATTCCATAGATTCAAAAGGTCTCCATTTACATTGTAAATCCAAAAGCTTTAGAACAGGAGCGGCTGGGCTAAGTCAAAGAAAAGATCAAGGTCTGACCTTTTTTCCTGGTTTTACTTTAGCCAAAAAATGAGCAATGATTGCACAGTACTGGAACATGTCTGCATAATCAGATTCATATCTCTTCCTAAACTATATTGACTGCCATAGAGTTCACAGCATCCAAAAATGACCTGCCGCTTTTATGAGTTATAAACTTTTTGGACGTGACTCTGCAAAAGAGTTGGGCCGGCAGAATTCAGTATTTGGTGAAGAAAAAAAAATGTTGCAGTGTTCATTTTCAAAATATATTCTAAAATCTGTTATACTGCAGCAAGTCTGATTCTCATATAATTTGGGTGGCATTAATGCTGCTCTGAGTATAAAATAAATATACATTTATTCTGTATAATTATTCTGTCTGAAATAGTTATACTACTGTGAAGCCCCAATGGGATCCCAGCGCTAAAACCAATGATAGGAAGATACACAAAGAGCTGTGAGTCCGGTGATTCAAATTCTTATTGAAATTAAAAAGGCAACTTAGGCCAAAACAGATGGTAAATCATTATTATTATTGTTGTTTTTGTTGTTGTTGCTACTGTAATTAATAATAATGATGGTGATGATATGTATTAAAACGTATTTTAAAACAGCACCTCAGCTTGCAGTGTCTAATTGGTAGTCCCATTGCTGAATATTATGGATTCTTAGAAATCACCCAATTGGCTGCCACCCAGCTGACATCACACCATTCAGTTCTTTGTATATGACCGATGTCCTATCACACTTACAGTAGCAAGAAAACAACACAATGTTAAAAAACGTGGGAATCCCATCTGGAACAAATTCTGCTTCATATGGAGCAAATATGAAGAAATCCAGGAAGAAATTTTCAGAAATCCCTACAATCAGTCCAAATGTCCAGTTTCCCCCACAGCAAGAGCAAAATAGAAAAAATTTAATTGCAAAAATAACACTATTATATTGAAAATCAATGTCTCAATGTCCATCTGTGTGGCAGGAAGTATTGTAGGCATGCTGGTCTCTCCTTGCGCTTATATATAATAATAAAAGAATAACTGATGTAAGTGCTGCCCACAAACACAATATGGAGTCAGTCTGACTTCAGGGATTTCAGACCAGCCACACAGTGGCACAATGTCTGCCGGGAGGGGGACGGGGGGGTGACCGCGTCAGGGGCAGGTGGCCAGTGAACTGGATTCCAGACTGGATGTGACGTCACACCTCATGATCACATTTTAAAATGGAAGCAAAATGATTTTTTTCATAGAACAGAACTGGTAATGGGAGACTTGTTGACTAGTTCTTTTAATAAGCCGAGGCTTATGCATATGCTTATGCTAAATATTTCTTTCAATATTTGATATATTTTGTTCCGTCTGGCTTTGCTGCTCTGCCTGTTGTCTGACCTCTTTCTGTTTAACAGATTCTGATTCCTCATTTTGTAGGAACATGCTTCCCTTGTCTGTCCTCTGACCACTTTCTGTTCTCATCTCTGAATTTGGATTTCAGCTCCATTTCTGCTGCTTCCTGGATGGATTGTATCATTAAACGCACCTTGTTCTGCTTTTGGATTGTTTGCTCTTCAATGCAATATCAATTAAATTCAATTTATTCTCACATAACTTCCTTTAAAGGAAAAAAACTACAAAAAGCAATATCCTAACAATATGAAAGTTTATCAGTAGAAAAAAACAGTAAACTTTTCAATTATACTATAAATTTTGTTAACTATTGCAGAAGAGTTAAGAATAGGTGCAGAATCTGACCAATCACAAACGAATTTCCCCACCTTCCATGTCTGTCCCAGAAGGATTGGAAATACCCCGAGGATTGCAAGGCTACATGACAGAAGCAAGTGTTCCCTGTGCCCTCGGGGCACCAATCCATATCCAGCAGTATGAAATGAACCTAAGAATAGCAGGCGAATAGCAGCCAAGACACAACCCAAGGGATAAAGGTGAATGGCATTAAAGGGACGGAGACCTCTTTCAGCACGGCGCTGTCCGGAAAGGTGCTGACTTACAGCTGCCGAACAAGGTGGTGTGCGGGGGGGGGGCTGATGGCAGGAGGCCGGTTTTTCGTGAGGTCTGCCGATTTCCTCAGATAGCCCGACCTTTCGTAGTCAGGCCTGATCCCTCTGATCCAGGCTGCAGAGAAGGCAGGGCAGCAGGAAACGGCTGAGCACCATGATGACTCCAGATGGATGGGAAGCTGGTCAGTACGTGGCTGTCATTAACCTGCAGGCTCGCGGCCATCCCACGTCAGCATCGGCGAGCTGCTAAAAAGGCATCAGGACTTAGCGGTGAGAGAGCGCCCATAAAGGGCATTTGTGAGATGATCTGTCATCTAGCTGCACTTATTGTTTACACTGACCTGTTGGCCTCTTTCAAGTAAAGCACTCGTCCAATTAATAAATGTAAATTATATTTCCTCAAACACTCTTAGCTCATTTAATGAAAGCGAGATGTGCACAAGCTTCTGTTTACTCTAAATGCGACATTAAAAACGTTCAGTTCCTAAATAATCTTTCCCATTAAACATTGCATACTCTAAGACTGAAACGTCTGTATCTATCTTTAGACTTTGAATTTTATCCTTCTTCATAGCAGCAATCGGCTACCTAGTGCATCTGTTCTCTATCTGATGTGTCTTCATGGGTTGGCAGGTTGCAGATTTGAGGTTTCCTGATTCCACTTTTTGTCTTTGTATTTGGGGAAAGTACTCAAGCACACTGAGTTGAACTAAAACTGATCAAAGGTCAAAGAGTTCACTTCAGTGATTAGTTTTTCCCTGTAAGGCCAGCAAATCATTTTCCACATCAGCAGCAGAATGAACAACACTGTAACTATGTAGAGTACATTATGCAGACAGCAATATACAGTGAAGGAAGCACTTCACTGGGGATGCTCATTAAAATAATTTCAAATCCTCACAAGCTTCAATGTGAGAGAAAATAAATACAGCACAGCATTGCTTAGTAATTATTGTCTGGGGAAGTCAATTTCTACTGGTTCTATTGAACTTTTTCCAAACTTCCAAACTTAGACAGTTACATACTTTTACAAAACAGTGCATGCATGTACTGTATGTCTACAGATGAGGTGCCTTCACTTTCATAGGGTTTATTTTTTGTTTTACCCTGTCTTGCTGTCCATGAGCCACATATGCAGTTGAGAGCAATCTCGGGGGTCACAGCAGAGGGGCAGCCAGTGTTCAGCACCCCTGGGGCTTGTAGTTAAGGGCCTTCCTCAAGGGCTCGCAGACACGCAACTGTCCCACCGAGACTGGGACCTGAGCCAGCAACCTTCCACTCACAGACGCAGACCCTTAGCCAACTCGACCAATCACCACTTGTACAGTATTGGCTAAGAAGTCATGTAATGGGGATGGTTGTTACTTGGGGGATTATTAAAAGAAGAACCATATTTTTACACCCCCTCCCAACTACGATGGTCTGTCCTGCTCCAGTCTGATGGCTCCATGTGGGATCTGCATCTCAGCTACACATCATAGAGTGTGCCTTGAGATACTGAGGGAATCTGTCTTGAGACGGGGACACACATGGATTACACGGACTGGCATTTCTCCAACTTGGATTCTCCACCTGGGAAAGGCTGAGACAGACAGTGTCAGATATGTGTTTCTGAAATTTCCCAAACCTTCATCATGATAAATGTCGCTGCTTACATCTGATCTCGCATTCTGGGACACAGCAGGCTGCTGGAACATACTCTTTGGTCTCAGGTGTTCAGAATTTTATTTTATCTTTTTGATTTTTTTTCCCCCCAGAACAAAATGTTGCTAGCGTGCCATGTTTTCTTCTGCTCTGCTCTGGAGCATGCAATAACAAAAACAGAAAAACAGAAAAAGGAAAATTCAGTTACAGTTCAGATTGCCTTTGCTGTAAACTTGGATCTGTTCAAGCAGAACACAAGGGGAATTGCGGCTATGTCCTCAAAGTAGACTCCTTCCATAACAGGGGGGAATCACACGTAACTGAAACTTGAAAATAACATCACCTGAAACGCAAAAGCAGGAATGAGAACAGAAATCGAATCCGACTGTACGTAAAATTCTGTTGCAGGAGTAACAGAAGCGATAAATTTAATTTATGCGGCACAGTCAATAATTAGAAATTGGGTATACGTAAGCTGAATTTTGAGGCTGTGGATTAATCATTCTGACAAGACCCTGTCCCTTCAATCATTTGCGAAACAAACCCCTCCTTTATTTAGTCGCAAGCCTGTGCGATTTAATGGAGATGGATAGTGGAAATAGAATTACAGGTACTCAAACGAACGGTTTTTTTGTTTGTTTGTTTGTTTTGTTTTTTGTAAAAACGGTACCATCAAAAGGGTGCTTAAATAATCCTCGGTAGGTTAACAGCCGTGGTATCAGCAGTATTTAGTATCTAACTGCGTGAAGCAACATTCTATTTTATTTTTAGTTATGCATAATAAGACCTTTGCAGGTGGCCAATTTAGTCCGCACTTAGAACGCGGTCATGTCAGCCCCTCTCCCCAGATGTGCTGCTTTCGTATCGGCACAAATTGTGTTGATACCACCTATTTGCCAGTAGAGGGCGGCCCATACACAATTCCTTCAGGCTGAAATTCGGTTATATAGCGACAATTCCATTTGGATCGGCCGAGGGAAGCGCGTTTGTTACCAGAAAGCGTGCAGAATGTAATTGTTTCTCTGTGATTATATAGATATGGACTTTATTTGGTCAAAGAAATATCATCAGTGCGATTGCCTTACTGGCCAAAAATCCAGCCCGACTGGCAATTGTGCATGCGTCCTTCAGAAGCAAGCTACTGCATTTATCACACTATCGCCAATTTTATGTCGAGCGCGAGAGTGTTTATTCTTTTGCTGTGCGTTTTTCTGGAAGGTAAATTTCCAGCCAGCTAAAAGTCCGCTTATTTCAGGCTGCAGTACAAAACTAATTATATTCCGGCAGCCTGGTCAATCCATGACGCGAACAGAAACTGGCACAGTAAGAAAACCTGCCACCGTCCTCTAATTTTATTTTAGGTAAATGCATTTAAATACACTTAACAGGATTCGAATCATTTGGATGCCAATTAAAATATAACGGAACATGGTTACATGCAATAGTATTTATGACAATCTGTAGCACAATCCATGTAAAATGGCTTCAAGTGCATTCTTAATCTAATCACTTATGTTATAAACGGTATGTCGACTTGCTTTGCTGAACTTAAACCCATTGTCTTACTGTTCGAATCTAGTACAATTTAAATTAGAAATAAGTTATGTGTTTTATTATTATTATTATTATTATTATTATTATTATTATATCTTTTTAAACAATTCACTGAACGCCAGCATGATGATTACTAGTTCGGACCACCTACCAACCCGATTTGCTCAATCCCGGAAGCACAAGCACCGCAGGAAGATTTTACAGCTGCTGTTGATGGACGTTTTACTACTTTTCTGTTCCCCGTATAAGTAATAGTGCGCAACTCCCAATAAGACGTGATAACTGGCCAGGAAATGCATAAACAAGGATCCCATTCAAGCAACATGTGATCGCATCTCTTTAGTATCCTGGATACGGCCCCAAAGCCGGACATATTCATTATTTCGTGAATATGTACAGGACACACGTTCGTGCATCTGTTGAGGTTGCGCGCATTGCACATTTACCAATAAATAAATATCCGTGTTTGTTAACTGCGAGGGTGTACAAGGTCTGTGAATAGGATTCGTGAATCGCATATTTTAATGATTCAAATGCTTCTCGGACTCATTGATCGCAAAACAAGGATTCCACTAGAATGAATTGGAAATTTAAATGGCGAAACGTGTTTCTTTTTCCACCCATTTATCTATTTTGTGATCTTAACTGTTTCTCGAAACAATAGTTACTTTTGCCAGCTCTCTCCCTGCAGGAGCATCACATTCACATGTTTGCCCGGCGATGCTCACTGTCTCCAATACAGATGAGATGCGCCGAGTCACACGCGCCCCTTGACGTCGTCGGCTGGCTGCGGCTCCTGCGCTCCCGCACGGCACGTATTGCGCAACGTGACCGATCCTCACTCAGCCAGTCCATCCTTTAAAGAAAAAAAAAAAAAAATATATATATATATCCCGTGTCGGGGGAAAAATACTCGCGTCCACAAAATTCAGCACCTCCTTCCCATCGTCGCCGAAGCATGGGGGTGGGGTGGGTTGTGGGGGGGGGGGGGGGGGCTGAGCTAACACGGAATCAAGTGCATACCCCGTTTCTGTATTAGTGGAGTCGTCCTCATCCGCCGGAGATGATTCGTTCGCGGTCTCTGGATGCGGTGGCGGCGGCACGGGGAGCGCGCTGCCTGCTCTCGCCGTAGCATTTCGGAACTCCCTTTTCCGTTCGCGTCCGCCGGGCTGCTGTGCATATTAAAAGTAACGAGGGAGGGGGGAAGAGCCGATCCGTATTGCATGACATCTCGTCAGATCTCCAGATGGACTATGGCTTGCCGGATGCGTTTTTTCTTGCGGTAGCGATGGGAGCCGCTGGAACTGGTGAGCAGGCATGCTACTGGATATTACAGGACTGCAATCAAGCGTGTTTGTGTAATTATACAGCGGGGAGCCTCCTCGGTTACTTTTAACGCGTCATAACTGAAGAGGTCCTTTTTTCCTTTTTTTCCCCCTCTTTTTGGTCTCGATCTGTAGGCTGTTACACAGCCCACTCAGTTTCTAATTGGTTTGCTATCCGTAGCGTATTCCTCATTCTTTTCCTCCATCACTGTGAATCAATTGCTTATGTGCACACCTCGTCACCATATAAAATCTTAAAATAACCCGACACATAATAACACTCGCCGGAATGAGAAGTTGATGATAATTTGTGTCGCCTTCATTTAAATGACGCTTTTATTTCTCAAACTGCACTCCGAAGCCTGATTTATCTTCGCGGACACCGTGTGATTTTTACCCGGGAATCGAGTTCTGTCTCGCAGCCTCTCTCGCCTCAGGAAGGACCTGTCACCATCGAGCTGGATATGTTGACATCAACGTAAAGATGGATTTAGTTTTCGGTCTCTTGTGGTTTCTCACTGTGTTTCTGGAAGACATTTATTGCCAAGGAGTCTACGGTAAGTGGATACATATGATAGTAGATTTTAATAAATACGATCATGACCTTGTGAAAAATTCTCTTCCAGAGATTTAATACTTTCCGCCTCCCAACATGGAGACTTCTTCATATTTTACTGTTCGTGGTTTTATGTTTTGTTTATCCACAATATCCATCATTTTACAAGACATCGGGCATTTCTGTAAACCACAGGTGACATGTAGTGGCCATGAATGCATATGATTCTCAGCCATGCTGCCACGGATCACTGGCGAGGTAGCGGACAGTATTCGGAGCCGCCTCCGCCGAACGATGTGCGTATTGCGTTGGGGCAGATTACGATCACTGATGTCGCTAAGTATGTCTCTTATTTATTTATTTGTTTTCACGTCTATCAATCAATTAATTAATTTATTTTGCCTCTCTGGCTATTAATTTCTTTAGAGAGACACGGATCGCACATAGTCACTGTCGTGAGATGTAATCTACTGCCATAGTGGAGCAAAGTAAAGATATGTATGTTAGATTAAATGTGTGTGTGTGTGTGTGTGTGCGTGTGCGCGCGCGTGTTTGTAGACACATATAGCCTACATATATTACATATATGTCCATTTATGTTTTATATATGTTATATGTGCATATTCGTGTATGAAAGAGGCAGCTTTTATAAGAAGTCGCATATAACAGGATAAAATGTAATCGGAAATCCGGCCCTGGGCTGTAGAAGCCAAACGCTGAAGTGCAACCGGTGGCATACTGATGCTCCGATGCTATGACATCGCAAATCTGATATAGGAACCCGGGTCGCGTTGCCGATCAGGGAGCTGATTATTAATCGTCGCGATGTGAGGAATTGGAGCATAGATGTGAGATTACAGCGGAGTGAACGGTGACTTGGGAGCGTGTGTCAAAGTGCGTTAAGGTTCCCTGGCGCAAGGGTTAAACTGAGTGGGTTTTTTGTGACACTTATGTGCTTGGACTAATAATTGACACACACACACACACACCTGGATTTAATTCTATCACACTCTTTATATTCGTTTGTAGGCAAGGGGGGGAAATCAAGTTCAGTGACGCAGACAGAGCAGTTGGCATCACTTAGCGCGAATAAAACGGAGATTTATTGTATAGCGCCCAAGACTGGTTATCTGTAGAATTATCCTATTGACGTCAGCTGCATTGGAAGAATGATTGTAATTTGGGAGAGTGTGCAAATGAGTGAATAAGAGGGTGTCAATGGGATTGTTTAAATATGCCGATTATATAACTAAATAATAATAAATAATGTTAAACGGACAAATGTAGGCTACAAACGACTGCCATTCGTTTGAAGACGGAACTTATGCGTTTTTTTCACGTTTTTCTGCTTCGGTCTACGCATAATATATATATTGTGACATTAATATCCTGCTTATTTCTCCCTGTTTTACAAATGTCTCACTGTTGTAACATTCGTAACTTTGGTACAAGTCGCCAGGCTCAGGACAATAATGCAGCGTGGCCAATATTTTGTACTTGTCTCTGCAGAACGCTACAGAAAATAATAGACTTATTAAAACTAACAATAAAAAAGCTTATTTGAATGAATTGCTTTTCTTTACGTTAAACATTTATAACACAATCATTCATAAATTTTCGGTATTTCATTGATGGATGTTGCCTGATTGGCTGATCCGATGCTCAATGCCATTAGCGGCGCACCATGGTAAGCGTGACCTTAGTACGGAAGATGCCTCCGATAGTAATTACAATACATCCAGCGAATAGAGATAGCAATCACCGGCACTAGGACGGCACCTGGATAAATGTCCTCAATATGTCTCTTACATCAAGTGAAAATCAGGTGTATTCTGTAAGAACGCCCTCATTTCTAATATTTCCAAGTGGAATACGATCGTAAGCATTTGAAATGATTTCAAGATTTTAAGTTTAAATTTGAAGCAGCTGCTGTTTGACAGATGTGAGGATTTTTTATCACGTGACCTTCAGCGTAATGCGCAGTTCTCTCTCTCTCTCTCTCTGTCTCTCTCTCTCTCTCTCTCTCATTCCCTTTGAAAGTCACTTGAGGTCATCCTCCAATTCACACACACACACACACACATACATATATATGTGTGTGTGAGTGTGTGTGTGTTCCAAAGTTTATGTGTGCGCACATTTCTTATTGTCTGTTGTTCATACTTAGATTTTCCTGTGGAAAATATTAAGCAACACCTGCATGAGATGCTCGGATTAGCTCCACTACTTCTGTGCAGGTTACTCTATGGTTAATATAAAGTACTTTACCTTTAACTGTTTACAGGTATCATATCCAAATTAAGTAAACAAAATTAAGTATGTTACCCTGCATTTAAGACAGCACAGTGGTGACAGAAGCTATCTGAGTAGGAAAATGATGGTGATTTCTCAATGGATGCAGTCAACTTATTTGACTTTCCAGAATTATGGCTGTAATAAAAAGGCAATTTCTGATGCGTCCCCTCATATCAGGAGATATTACGGTATTTGGCAAGATGTTGTCTGCCATCTTGATGTTGAGTTTGATGTAAAATGGTTTTAATGTCAGCACCAGGTTCTGTATATTCATCCAGCATGTTGTCCATCTCAGGGTCGCGCAGGGTTGGTAGAGCCTATCCCAGGCTGCTTAGAGCACAAGGCAAGCACAAGTGTGCACCCTGGATGGGATGCCAGCTCATTGTAGGGTGCATTCAGTGGCACAAAATGGATATTTCATAAATTATAGTCATGTCTGTGAAACATCTGCTTAAAGTATTTCATTCAAAGAAGACCGATATGCACCGATATGCAGGTAGGGTTTTGAATACCGAGTTAGGTGATATATTATACTAATTAGAGTAATAAAGTCTGTATCACACCTCTGGGATCTGGGTTTAAGTGTCCACCCAGGTTCCATGTGTGTGGAGTTTGTATGTTCTCGCTGTGTCATCATGGGATTTTATCTGGTTACTCCGGTTTCCCCCCATAGTCCAGAAACATTCTGAGGCTAACTGGAGTTAAACTGTCCGTAAGTGTGAATGATGTGCCATCGAATGGTGAGCGAGTGTGCCCTGTGATGTGTTGGTGCCCCATCCTGGGTTGTTCCCTGCCTTGCACACTTAGCCTCTGGGACAGGCTATTCCCCTGAATAGCACAAACGGTTACAGAAAATGGATGGATGGATGGAAATTCTGTATTCCTGTCTCTGATTAAGTGAGTATTTTTGGACTGTAGGAATGGAATGGAGAGTAGTTGTTTCAGTAGGTATTGGACACAGTCTTGTACCTAGGATCCAACTACTTAACTCCAGGATGGACTTTTCTGTTGTACCACTGAGTGAAGTATTCAACCCAAACTGTTCATGCAGAATTAGGTATATCATAACCATATGAAAATGAACTTCAAACCGGCTTCGGTATAGCTACCCATTGAAGTAATGATATTCTTATCAATATAAAGTGTGCACCTGAAGTTTCATCCATATTAATTCCTTAAATGGTTTTCAAAAAGCTTTACTTGTAATATTCATTTATGAGCAGAAGTCCCTTGCATGGTCTAACACCTGGTCTAATTAACTTCATTGACATTTTAATTGCTTAACTGTGAGTTTTATCAGGAGTAACATTCTGCTCCATCATTTTTTTCCTTCAATTGTCCCATTGACCTTTTTTATATTTTATTTTATTTTCCCTTAAGTTTGATTATATTGCATCATGACATTCAACAATTCAACTTTATAGCTATCCTGTCGCTGGAAATTCATTAAAGAAGCAGGAGAAAAATACAAGTCTGGGTCATCTGCTTTCTGCAGTGGGCCTTCATTTCATGTTTTCATGCACAGCAGTAGCTTAAAAAGTCCTGCAGGCCTATATTTTGGGCTGCTTGGGCTAATCACTTGTGTACTCAACATGGTCCGGTCAGCCTGTCTGTAAAACACATCTCTGTTTGTGCTACAATGTTTTGATTGAGAAAAAAAATGTAGGCTACATTTGATCATGATGTCTATCATATTTCATGACGGTGATGCTCTGCTTCCTAGCATTATCTCATGACAGGATCGTATAGAAAAATGTTGACTTATCAATAATTACGCACCTTTGCCTGCATTATCTTGACATATGAGACACTGAATGAAAATATCTGGGATTCATATTCCCATTCATGAAGTAGTCAGGAATCTGTAAAATATGTATTCTGTTCTTCACATGCTACAGGGCATATTGGTTAATTACATTTCATTTGACATAGCTGATTGGAAGCATTTGACTCTATGTTATTAATGTTGAAGGCTGATTTGTAGCATTTGCCTGCAA